GCCCAGGAAGGGAATCTGGGGACTGGTACCAGGGCAGGGAGGGCTGGTGCCAGCTGTGGGCATCACCCTGATCCTCCCAAGCTGAATGGTTTCCCCTGTACCCACCCCCAAGAGAGACCCACGGCTCTGCCCCAAGAGGTCCAGGTGGTCTCTGGGTAGCAGAGTAGTAGGCTGGCAACCTTCAAGCACAAGGACAAGGGAGGAGCCTGCCCTGTTCTCCTCTTGGGCTTGGACCCTGCCCAGAACATCATCTCCTTCCTCCTTCCCATCTCAGGCTCCACCTCCTCCCTCCCCCTTCCAGCCTCCCACCCCTCCCTCGGGGGCTGCTCACCCAAGGCCCCATCCAGGTTCTGGAAGATGCGGCATCGGTGGTCCAAGGTGATGTTGATCTGCTCCTGCAGGAACGAGGACACCAGGCTGCAGCAGGGCCAGGTCCTGGTGGAAGCTGGGCCCACTCATTCAGCCTGGGGAACCTGCCCCTTGCTCACTCAGTCTTGACACATCAGGGAAGCCTGGAGCCCTGAAAAGCCCTGGGGGCTACCAGGCAACCAGGAAGTCTCAGAACCAGAAGGAAGCTAAAGAAGCACCTGGCTCAAATCCAGGACAATCACAGTAACACACACACACACACACACACACACACACACACACACACACACACACACACGCCAATCACTAGTCCAAGAAGCATGTGTGTATTCATATGTAAATTTAATCCTTTCAACATCCCTAGGAGATGCTGTTATTACTATGTTATTATTACCGTTATGTTACTATTATTGTTTTTTTTTTCTTTTTTTGGTTTTCTGGAGTGCTGAGACTACAGACATGCACCACCACACCTAGGTTTTATAGTCAAGAACCCAACTGTGGCCAGGCACAGTAGCTCACACCAGTAATCCCAGTTGCTCAGGAGGTGGAGAGAGGAGGATCACAGTCTAAAGCTGATCCAGGCAAAACTGTGAGATCCCAGCTAAAAAATAACTAAAACAAAAATGACCGGGGCATGGCTCAAGTGGCAGAGCACCCACCGAGCAAGTGCCAGACTCTGAGTCCAAACCCCAGTATGGCCAAAAAAAAGAACCCAACCATGCTGGTGCCCTGATCTCACACAGACTTCCAACCTCCAGAACTGTGAACAGTGAATGTCTGCTGTTTGTAAGTCTCCCCAATCTATGACAGTTTGTTACAGCAGGCAGAATGGACTAAGACAGCAACCCAGGAGCTCAGGCCCCAGGGGACTGTCCCCAGTGCAGCTGGCCAGCAGGATCTAGAGTCACAATTCCCTAAGCTCTTCTCCTCCACTCACCACCACCTCTTACCCTCTTCTCTGGGTCCAAGAAGATTTTAGTGTAAAAGAGCTGGTCGCTGTCGCTATCCTGGCCCTCCCATTCAGCCACCAGTTTGCTGAGGTTGGGGGCATAACCAATGAAACCTGGGGAGAAGGGGTAGAACACAGAAACAGACACTTAGCTTCAGGCCTCTAAGCCAGGGCTTTCCCCCTCCTCCTCTCTTTTACCTACAAGGCCTGCCTCCTCTCAGAAGTACTCCTGGATTAAGGAAAGTTGGGTTGTAGGCTGGAAATAGGCCTGCCATTATTGTACCTGGCTGATGAGTTCCCACTGCTCCAAGAGAGAAAGTTCCATGAAGGAAGACCCATTTAGTGCTTGGCACTACACAGTTAGTGAATGAATCTATTGGACCAGAAGCCCCTGGAGAGTACAGTTGGTGGGGCCCAGTGCCTTTTATAGAATGATCTGGGTAACTTGACCCAGAGAAGAGCAAAGGCCAGGCCAAAGTCACACCGGCACTCTTGGAGTTGAGCCCCGGGAAGTGGTCAAAGTCCACCCGGGCTCCCAGGCTAGAGCGTAGACTGAGAGGCAAAGGGAAGAGAAACAGGACACCTAACCTCAGGGCCAGGGCCTAGGCCCAGAAGGGCCCTGTAGACGGAGTGATGCTCTGAGCCACTGAGCCATGTAGCTGCAGAGCCCCTTCTGAGGTGGCAGAGGCCTGTTAATTTTATTCCCCATCCAATGGGAGTTCACTGAGCGCTGGATCTGCTTCCTCTTAGAGCCTCTCAGGCTGCTGGGTGGAGAACTGAGACTGGCAGGGCAGTCAGAAGACAGTGAGCCAGGAGAGGAAGGGTTCCACAAGAGGGCAGGTGCAGGCCTATGAGGGCAACTCCAGATTTCTTTCAGAAGAGTCAAAAGATCTTTTGGCGCCGGGCGCGGTGGCGCGCGCCTGTAGTCCTAGCTACTCGGGAGGCTGAGGCAGGAGGATCGCTTGAGTCCAGGAGTTCT